TGACAAAAAAAAAACGTAACATCGTGTGAAACGTACTTCGCGCTCTACTCACTTTAAAGCTGCCACCTATGCTCATGAGCATAGTTGCGGACAAAGTCTTACAACTTCAAGATGGTTTTAATGTTACCAGCTCCCTGATGTTACACCGTAATAAGGCAGCCAACACCAATGTGCATGTGTTTTGTAACCCCTTTCACCCCCTCCGGGGGATGTTATATATGTTAATAAATCAATGTTAAATACTTGCTGATTACCGAACCGTGCGGCATGTCGTCGGTAAATACTTGTTTACCGTAGTTCGCGAGCAGTCGGCGAAATAACCTTATAAAACTAAACATTTCTATAAGGCATGCTGTGTATCCTTACATCGATCAACCATTGACTCAGAGATTTGTGCTTTTTGACCAACCAACCGATGGGAATCGTGCTCTTCGCAGAGTGACACTGCGATCCTGTCGCTGAGTGCAATACTCGACATTCGGCGAGGCACACAATCGCGTCGCAGAGTTAGTTTTTAGACCCCCATACATACCTCCTCAACTGGTTAAATGTCTAAAAATAGATGGCTGGGCTTATACTCGGGGAGGGGCTTATGATCGGTGAAGTATGTTAAATGTAATTTGTATCATTCCCATCAGGATAAAAACTGCATATTCCTAATGTCTGTACATATCACCTCGCCTTGCTTTGAGTTTACCATTGTTTCATGCTAAGCATATTCTATCTGTTAGATTAATGATGAAATCAGTGTAAATTTCTGAAAACTTGCTTATAATAGTGTTCATAATATTTATTGGTGGATCGAAGTAGAGGTCAGCCTTTCCTGTGATATTCAAAGTCACAGCAATACCTGAAATGCTAATTGTGTCTTTCAGGTTCTATTAGAAGTCACAGCAATACCTGAAATGCTAATTGTGTCTTTCAGGTTCTATTAGAAGTCACAGCAATACCTGAAATGCTAATTGTGTCTTTCAGGTTCTATTAGAAGTCACAGCAATACCTGAAATGCTAATTGTGTCTTTCAGGTTCTATTAGAAATCACAGCGATACCTGAAATGCTAATTGTGTCTTTCAGGTTCTATTAGAAGTCACAGCGATACCTGAAATGCTAATTGTGTCTTTCAGGTTCTATTAGAAGTCACAGCGATACCTTTTGTGGAATGCGAAGCACCAGAATAGACTGGTTTGTGGTAGAAACTAATAAACTCCTAATCAGACTGGAAAAATTACTTAGTTACGAGAGTTCAGTTATGGATCCTATGAAGAAAAATATGTTTGAAAAGTTGGAGAAACTTCTAGACAGTCAAAGTCTAGACCCTACCAACAAACGAAAAGGTACATGTATTTTATAGATGTAATCATGTGCAAGGTAGACATTTTCATTGACATTGGGAGAGAAGGAAGGAGGTGGTAATCTAACTAAATTGTGTATTTTACCCCTAATAAATAACCACCTCTGTTTATACCGATTGGTTTTTAAAGCCTCCATAGATAACTATAATGAATATGAAGAAACAATGTCAGCATCATGTTTGAAATGTCATGGTATTGTGAATCCTGATTTATGATGACTCAGATATCAGATTGTATTTTCAATTGATGTTGGTATTTTGACAAGTCACATCATAGAATTGTTATGTAATAGTTCCTTCCTTTCTATGCCTCAGATTGGTACAAAACTCTATTCATCTGATTTTTTTTTGCAGCATTTGAGAAAAGTATTGTTCCATGGGCACCTGATGAAGATGTCAAATATTGCCCAACATGTGGAGACAAATTTTCATTGGCTAAGAGGAAACACCATTGTCGTTTATGTGGAAGTATCATGTGTGGGAGATGCTCTGATTATTTATCATACACCAGGGCTAGTAAGTAATTATGTGCTGAGGTTGATTTGGGGAATGCATTTTATTGGACATGAAATAGACACAGCTAAGTGGTCATGATAGCTTTGCTGACACCACATATGACCAAAGCATATGCATACTTGATACAATAAATTGTTGATTTATTTGTGATGCCATTCTCATAGAGCAAATACGATATGTATCTATTTTTTGTGGATGCAATCTGCATCACTGTTCAGAAATTACATATACCTAACTCTAAACATTGTTAAATGCATAAATTCACAATACATCAACCTCTGGTTATCAGGTATAACACTTTTGCATATCTACAATAGAAGAACTTGTAGACAGAAACATTCATTTTTTTTAAACTGGATCATTATGACATTATGACAGAGAAAAACTCCATCTATATGTAAGTGCATATACCTTTAATAAAGCATATAGTCTATTGTATGTATGGTGGATTATTGAAACGTCACTCTGAAAACAAATTCTGTGTTTCTAGTGACAGTCTAACAAAATATTGGGTGGGCAGGTAGGGTTTTTATTTTATTATAGATTATTTTTCTCCAAATAACTTATTTCTATCACAAAGTTGCATTCAATACAGGATTAAGAATGACTACAAATTACAAGTTTGTCATTACAGTTAATTTGCTATACACTCGTGCTCTTGTCATGCAATACATCAAATGAAGTAAATGAGCAAAATATTTTTTTGTAAAAATAAACTAATTTGCAATAGTTTGAGTTTCGCTAAAATATGGATAGGTAAAGTGATTTTTTTTCATTGGCCTTATTTAGCCAATGGCACAAATACAGTATAATTTGTTTGTACTACATGTGCATGTAGTTGTGTAGTCAGTTCCTCTAAATTTTAATTTGCATTTCAACCTTGACATCACATCAGCATGTACATGTACAATAGACTGTAAGTTGTATCTAACTATGAGCTCTAGAGATGCATAGGCTTATGTGGGTTTGACAACCACTATTGTAAACTTATTATCCTTTTTATCCTTTCCTAAGGATTTTATGCGTCTAATAAAAAATAAAATAAATAAATATAACCAATACAAAGAGAGAAATGGCAATCATTTTTTACTGGTTCAATTGTATTGAAGGAATTCCTGTAATTACGTTAAATTAGTCTAACTTTTTTAGGCCCAATCCTGAAAGTAGTTAGCTAAATTATATTCCTTCACACATAGTATTTAGAAAAGTAGGTGACTAATTAGCTAATAAGCCAGCCTTTAGTCGCCTTCTGAAGACATCTCTGAATAGCAACAAAATGCATTATGATTACCACAGAATTGATACTCCATATGATGTGTCTGCACTTTGTTTTTTAACAAACTACCAAATAACTAATAATAAAGTTAATTTAGATTATTGAGATTGAGAGGAAGGAAATGAAAACTTATAAATAGCAATTCTTGATTCTTCCATAGAAGGCCCCCTAACTTAAGTCTCTAACATTAAATAGATTGTTGTACACAATTGCTGATGCCCTGTACATTGCATGTGTTGAACACTTACACCATAGCTGGAAACAAACAGCATTTCAATCTGTTCAAATTCTACTTTCAATAAGTCCGAAAAAAAGCAAATCTCAGCTGTGGTGTCAGTT